AAATAAATAATTTTTACTAATAATTATAATAATGGAGGAAATTGAATTTTTATTGTTTTTAAAATTTCGGTGAACTTACTTTCTTTTACGTTTTGCCCCCACATGAATTCAGCTAAATATGATTTAAGATGATGACGCGCAGTGCCACAATGTTTTTTGTTCTGCCATTTTGMTGATCCCCAGAGACKTTCTACACTTTGCATATGTGCTCCACTTTCAGGATCAACATAGTTTTTGCTGTGGTTTACAGTTAAATGTTTATAAGCAGCTTAATTAGTAGGAAGCAGTAGAAAAGTACCATTTTGGTAGTCTTATATAACAGGATTGTGATGTCAAAAAACAATGTAGTCTCGTATAACAGGAAAGTACCAAATATAGTAGTCCATCTAGTAGATAACTAGATTAAATTAGAAAATAATTAAGAAAAACATTCTTTGTTACAACTTGCTGTCATATTTTAAACAAACTAAATAAATTGTGTGTTGGTAATAATAGTTTTATGAAATTTGCTAAAGAATTTATATAATCCAACTTTTTTTAGATCTTATGGGTAATGTTACTTTTAGTGCTCAAATTTTAGATATTTCATTAGCAATAGATAAGTTACTCAAAACCTTAAAAATGTTAAATTACAAATATTTGGAAACAAGACATTGTTACTTGAACAATCACAATGTTTCACGTTTGGTAAAATGATATACAATATTTTTCAAAACAAGAAAATAATTTAGTTTTTAATTTTTTATTAATTTAAAAAAATTAATAGTTATTTCATAAATATAAGAATCTAATTTAAACTCAATTATTTAACCTCRTAGAAAAATAATATTACTGTATAACCTTTAGTGAAAAGACACCATTGTGTATTATTTTAGTTTTTATTAATGTTCTACTAATATATGTTCCTAATGCATTTATTTTTTTTATCATACACGTATWTGTGATTTAATGAGTTAATTAAAATAAGTAGAAGTTAACAAAATTATCAGTTAAAACAATTTCAGTAAATTGTTGATGCTTAATTTTATTTAAATAATGAGAATTTGTATTTGTATGGAATAAAGCATATTTAAGAAACTAATAAATGTGGCCATAAAAATAATCTTAAAAATCTATTATTTATCAAGTGAGATTTAGGTAGTGACATTTATTTTTAATTAGTTGTTTTACTATTAATAATGKTTAAAAGTTTGTATACCTTTATAAAAAAAAATACTTCCAATTGAAACATTTTGAAATACATTTTTTAATTTCAATAATAATAGAAATAATGGCTCAACGATAATGATAATGATAATAACAATATTATATATATTATTTATATTGAACATTGTGCTGTGTTACCTACGTTATAATCCTGCCAGCCACCAGGGCAACATAAAAAATGTCAAAATTAGGTCATTTGTTCAAGATAGGCAATTGTTTTCTCAAGTGTAGTATTAAAAAATTGCTATTTTGAACTAATATTTGATTATATTGATTTAAAAATAATATTCCGTTGTAGAAAATTGCTCACAATGAGGCATTAATTAAATTATTATCTATTGTTCGTATTAAATTAATTTCCTAAAAGTTATGTTAACCTGCTTTAATAAGTGTATTAATAATATACAAATAACCCCTCCTCCCCCAAATATATATATATATTATGTAAATAAATAATATATAATACAACCATWTAAAACTTGACAGCATTTGTCATTGATATTTTTTGTTACCAGATTATTGTATTCAATATTTTGATGTAATTTTAGAGTATTGAATGGTTTTTTGATAATTTAATTGCACAAAATAATTTTTTTTTCCA